CAGCCTGCGAGTGCCACTAGACAGGAGCTGTTGGGTGGGCTCTGCTTTGATGGCCAGATCTGTGCAATTGACTCAGGTAGGCAAGTCACACATCTGCCCAGGAGCTCTGAAGCTCTTTTTGTGGTGGGAAATCAAACTATCTTTTCACAGCCATTGACTGCTCTTTTCCAGTCCCTGTGTACAGATGTGCCCAGAAAAATCAGAGGAACATGTCCTCATCCCTTCTTCCTGAGATCCTTCCGACAGCTCGGTTCTGTAGGGTGTGCGTGTGCGAGTGGTTAGTGTGTGCCTGTGCCTCCTTGTTATTGTGAGCCTGCCTGTAGTGCAAGGTCAGAACTTTGCCACACAGTGTCCTGGCCCATCCCCCGGGTCCCTCACTTGGTCGGTCCCTCCCTAGACCCCAGTTGCCCATCTCAGCTCCCCCAAGGCCCTGCTGCTCTTTGATCATTAAGGGCTGGCTCCAAGGTGGCAAGCCTGGACAACTCCAAGTGGATGTCCAGCCTGCCCCTGCCAGTGTGGACTACACCTCGGGTACCCATGGGGTTCTGGAGTGTACTGCATCCCAGGCCACCCAGGTGCAGGTCCTATCTTTCTCCTGCCAGGGCTTGGACTTGGGGCTGGGGCAACACTGCTGGTCAGTGGCAGAGTGAAGATGTAACTGGGGTACTGTCTGTATTACAGCAGAAGTGGACCTGATGCTTCTCTGCAAGCGCTGTGCATACAGGGCAGGGAGAAGAGAGGGGCTCCGTAACAGTTCCCTGAAGCTTTGCACCACTGCTGACAGGGTTGTGTTCCTGGGAATGGGTGGGAGACGTCATGCAAAGGACTGAGATTCCAAAGGGCTTCCCAGAGGTGGTGGCCAGGGGAACAGCTTGAGAGCACAGAGGGAGGAAGGTGGGGAGGGAGAGCAGCCAGGGATATCAGAGGTACCAGGGAGGCCTCAGGCAGTCCACAGAGCTTTGCTGCCCAGCATGCAGCCACTAGACATTTAGATTTGACTTAATTTAAAAAAATAGAATTAAAAGCTGCCTCCTCAGGGCTCTAGACACTTTTTGAGCTCCCTATAGCCACGCGTGGCCCATGGCTGCAGTGCTGTATGGTAAAGAATGAATGACACTTGCATCACAGAGAGAAGGTTGACCAGCCAGCTGCTGAGGCCACCAAGCGCTTGCCTCCATGCCAGGCTGACCCCAGGGACTGAAGCCAGCTCTGCCCACCTAGCATATGAGTGTGGTCAATGCCAGCATTTACCACCAAAATAATTCTGCCTTCCACAACAGAGTTAATGCCATGGCTAGGTTAGGGTTAGGGCTGGCACTGAGCACCGTGTCTGGGCTCAGACACTGCACACGTGAAGCTCCAAAAAACTCACAGGGTGGAAACCTCACTTCCGTCCATATCATTTCCAGTTAAAAGTGACGACAGTCTAGGAGAACTGTGTTCTGGGAACGGGCTTTCCTGGGAGCCAGGGCTTCCGGGTTGAATACAAGGGCTTGGTGTTCAGCCTCAAGGGCTCCCACAGAAGCTGCCACCACAGAGCCAAGGGCTGCAACCAGTGGACTGATGAGCCTGCTGTGACCTGTAGTGCTTTTTTAAAAAAAAAATGAAATTTTAAATTAATTCCAAATCCAGGAGATTCCTTTGCCCAAGAGAAGTCTCATGCTGCTGCCACCAGTGCCCCAGGCCCTATGTGCCATCTCCTCCACTCTCTTGTCTGAGAAAATACACACTGATGGCCAGGACCCCCAGCCCAGCTGGTTAGAGGAAATGTACTTTGTCCACAGTACGCTGTCTGCACTACATTGCATGGAGACCTGGTGCAAGGCCATGGACATTCCCAGCCACAGTCCTCTCCAGCAAGTACTCATAGGTCGTGTGGAATGGTTAGTTCCTGGTGTGTCACCTCCTCCACTGGTTCCTAGAAAGGCTGATGAAGAAATCCATTATTGGGGCCAGTGATGTTCAGGGAACCATTAAGGACAGCTGTCATTGCTTCCCAAGAACAGCTGGGGAGGGGCCCAGCTAAAGTCTGGCCATCGCCTGCAGCCTGGACTGGATCCTCCCTGACCAGAAGCCACAGCTCACCACAATGGGTCTCCACCGGGCCTAGCTGTGTCGGGCAGCAACCTCAGCCAGCACTGGGGTTGGGAGCCAAGAGAGGCCTGGCTGAGCTCACCTGCACATCTGGAAGGAAGAACCCAGACCAGGGAAACTGAAGGATGGGCACATGACTGGGGCAGGGTGTGGGTCTCACTGCTGGGAGCATCCAAGCCTACCCAGAATGACAGTGCCAACTTGTGAAGGAAGTGGGACTGGAGCAGGTTGAGACCCAGGCCATGTTTTCCAGCACCCAAGAAGGCGGCCAGCACAGATCCTAAGCTGGAGTTCCCCAGCAGGATTGGCCTGAGACGTGTTTCCTGGACTATTGGTGGAGGCAGAGACACAGTGGACCCAGATTTCGTGACAACAACGTTGCTGCTCTCTGATGGGATTTTGAGCAACAATAGGTTAACATTTCCAAATTCTTAAAGTCAAACACTTGAAAGAGCCCTATGACTTTTCCCTGTCTCCCCACCGAGTTTGTTGAACACCCCAGAACCTGAGACACTGGGGATATTCAAAGTCTACAGAGCAATGGTGGCCTTCAAAGCAGGCCTGTGTGTGGTGACTTGATCAGGGAGAGTTTCAGTGCAGTTTACAGATGGAAACTTTCCTGCCCCTGTAGGGAGCACAGACGGCCTCACCTGTAGCAGGCTGAGTGCAGCCTGCACTGTGAGCAGCTCCAGAGAGGCAGCCTAGAGGGTGGCATGACCGGCACCCTGGACAGGGGACACAGACCTGTGTCTGGGCCTGGTTCTCCTGGTTAGAATCTGCTGTCCTCCTTGGATGCCAGCTGGTGGATTCCCTGATTGTCCTCCCTAAGCAGCCCTGGGAAGCCTGGGTCTCAACCACCCTCACCCTGTTCACTCCAGCCAGGCCCCTGGGCTTCTGAGAGGAAGGGCCCAGGCAGTGCAGGACCAGGAAGCCCAGTGTGCAGCTCCCCAGCCCTGAGCTCCTGCCAAGCCCCAAGACTGCTGTGCATGGGGTGAACAAGAGTGGGAAGTGGAATCCCAGACAGCACTGATGCCTCTAGCTGTGCCCACAAAGGAAGGATCTGCCCCTGTGACTCAGACCAGGGTTATGATTGCACGCGCGCACGTGCGCGCACACACACACACACACACACACACACACACTGAGCAAGCACCAGCCTTACTGAGTGACCAAACAGACAGACCAGTGGGACCCTCCAGAGGAGCTCTGGGCTGTCTGGGCTCTATCACTAGCACTACAGGTCCCTGCCCCTCTATGGCCCCATCATCTCCATCTATAAAGTGGGAGAGTTGTAAACCTGAGTTTCCTCTGTCACAGATATACCCTCCATGAGCAGCAAGGACCCAAGGGAGCCAGGTCTCTCATGGTAGCTACCCTCTAGCTCTTCCCTTGGCAGGGCACCCACCTGCCCATAACTCAGGGACACTGCACCTGGCTGCCTACTATGGCCAGGCAGGCCTTCAACAGGACAGTTGGCCACTTGGTGCTAAGAAGCCAGGCTCAAAGTCAGAATGGATAGGCACTGGGCATGACATCTCATATCCTATCTGGCTGTTCCCTGAACTTAAGGGGAGAGACCCAGCACAATCTGTCCCTTGTCCAAGGCCACCCAAGCAGCAGTAAAGTCCGGAAACCAACCTCCAGCATGCCAGCAGGGAAGCCAGGGCTCCAGGGAGGAGCTGCTGGCCAGCATCCACTGCAGGTGAGGGGCCAGGACCCTGCCAGAGCAGCTGGTGGCCCAGCTTTGGGATATCACAGGTGGTGCCTTACTGCTCCAGTATTTCTGTCTGCACACCAGCCAGGGAGGGCAGCAGGAATGATGTGGCTCCTCTTTGCTGGCACTGGGGAAAGTTTTGTGAAGGATTTTCCTTTGGAACTGAGGCTGGGAAATGGCTGCATTTAAGGCTTTAAACCAAGACTTCTCAGGACTGCAGGTCAGTATGACATGCTGGGCAGAAAGTGGGCTCCACAGTCTGTGTAGGGCTGAGACCATGGGTCAGACACGCTGGCTACAGGCCTTTACAATGGGAATGTGCAAGGGGACTCCCAGGGGCCCTGTTTCCCAAACTTTAACTTCTCTGATTGAGGACCCCTGAGTGCTGGGACGTCCAGGCTGGACATTCCTTGAGACACACACGTGGACTTTTCCAAGAGAACTGCAAGCAAGAATGGAGGGCCCAAAGATAAGAACAGGAAACAGGAGGGCATTACAGCTCAACTTGGAAGCTGGACGGGGCAGTGGAGAAATTGAAACCCAGGCCCCAGTGCCATATGCCCCTGTGGACAGAAAACCACAAAGGGGACCTATGAAGGCTGCCCAGCCTCCCTTTTAGAGGTAACAGTGATCCAGGAGGGCACATCTTCAGGCAGACTGTCCCCCAACCTCAACCCAAGCCCACGCCCTGGAGAGGTGTGTGTCTGGTCCAATTCAGGGCCATCTCTCTGCAGCGGGGCCGCTCAGAGGCATTGCTTAAACAAGAAGCCATTTGGCAGGAGGTGGGCTCCCAGGGGAGCTGGTTTGGGGAGTACCAACCTCATGGTGCAATGCTCCTGTCTACCCGGGGGCAAGCGTTCCATCTGTCCACAGCTGCTCCTGAGTTACTAACCAGGGTTGGGAGGAGGTGCCCAGCCTCCCAGGCAGAATTTCCACCTGCAGCCCAGGCTGCAGAGGGTAGTGAAGCAGGTAGCAGCTAGGCAACGGTGAGGTCTAAGCACTCATTACCCTTAAGTATACGTATTTAATGGTAAGTTTGCATCATTTAATTTTCAACAGTGACTCTGTGACAACGGGTTAGCAAAATCATCAGACATTTAAATCAGCTCTGGAAAACTGACATAGTGTGTCCAGCATACAGCTAGGGGTTTTATCAGTGACAAACCCTTTCTGTTCTCCCCATTTTCTCCAGGCAAACCAGGGAGCAGGAGACGCCCCCCGACTTTTTTTATTTCTCTGACTACGAGCGGCACAATGCGGAGATTGCTGCCTTCCACCTGGACAGGTGAGCCCCCTCCTCCACAGAGAAGCCACCTCCACCTGCACAAGGGAGCCCCCTCCTCTGAGAGCCAGGCACCCATCAAGCATAATTACACAGGTCTGCTAGTGCCCGAGAAGGCACAGGCCTGGCCTCTGGGGTCCACAGTGTATTGTCACTGTCATTTCCTCGTGGCGATCTCTGCAGTCTGTGTTCAGAACACCCTACTAGAATTGGTTCTTTTAACTCTCATGATGCCTGGGGGGGGGGGGGGGCAGACCTTCACATCCCAATTCCACAGACCAGAAAACTGAGGCCCTGAGAGAAATACATGCCCAGAGATGGGCCCTTCCACTGTGGCTCATCACCTAGGCAGGTGCCTCCTGTGTGCCCAGCAAGGAGCATCCAGAGGAATGGTAGGTTTGGGGTCTCAGAGAACACAGGAAAAAGAAAAGCAGGAAAGAAGAGAGGAAGAAGTATTAGTGCCGTGAATTTTAATATGGCTAATCACAGGGTGGGACTTCTCTGAGGGAAAAAAAATCTACTTGAAGAAAGTGGTGCCCACAGCAAAACGAGTTGAGGCCTGGTCCCTGCTTCCTGAGGGGCAGCTCTGACCTGCAGGATGCAGCTCATTTTCAGGTTCCACCTGGCTACAGAGAGGTGGGGGCTACGCACAGGAGCCCCATGGGATGGTCAGTGTCTACCCTCGAGGGGCAGCCCACAGTCTGACACTGGGGTCAGGTTCAGGGATCTGGAGGTCAGAGAGCACCCATCAGGCAGCAGCAGAAAGAAACTTCTGCGTCTGGAGCCTCCTGGCTGCTCTGCAGGGCCTTAGGTGGACAGTAGTGTCATCCCCACCACCATCCCCAACCCCCGCAGCTGGCTGAATGCAGAGTCTGGGCCCCACCCCACACCCACAGACCAGGATCTGCATTTTAACAGAATCGGGTGATCCATGTATGATCACAAACCTTGTGTGGTGACTGCAGAAATCTCCAGAAGTTAGATTTCCAACCATTGCATTTTCCCAGAACAGCCCAACCTGAGAGAAAGCCTTTCTATGGAAAGAACCATGGGGGCTCCCAAGCCATGAGGTTGCTCTCTAGAAAACATGGACCCCAGTCGACGTGCTTATAAGACAGGGAAGCAGAGCCCAGGATATGCCTGCCTGTGGGAGGTGGTGCATGCTGCCACACATAGCCAGCCTGACCCTGGGTCCCAGGTATGCAACCTGTTCCTCCACGCCCGGCCACTTCTGCAGAGGACACCTATGCAGCTATCACAAGTCCTGTGTCAGCAGGAAACACTTGCATCCGGCATCTCCATTTAATTAAGCAAGTGGCAGTGCGTGCCGTGGAGCTCAGAAAGAGTTCCATTAAGAGTGGTTCATGTAATTTAATTTAGTTTTAAATTTAGCCCTAGAATGAGGGCATGTTTTAGTTATCCAGGTGCCTGGCAGGGCTGAGGCAAATGCACAAGGACTCATCCTTCCAGGGTGTGTTCAGCCTGTTGCTGATGGTGCCAGGCAGAGCCACAGCCCAAAGCCAGATTTGAGCGAGGGCCAGGAGAGGCCTGGTTCATCAGCCTCTGCCTGGGCTGCCAGGAATGCACCACAGAGAGTGAAGACTTTTTTTCTCCGTCCTTCTCTTGCCAGGATCCTGGACTTCCGCAGAGTCCCTCCTGTGGCCGGCAGGATGGTCAACATGACCAAAGAAATTCGGGATGTCACTCGAGACAAGAAGCTGTGGAGGACTTTCTTTGTCTCTCCAGGTAGCTATGCCCGGCCCATCATGGGGCTCCCAACAGGTGGCGCCCTTGGTAGCCTCTAGAGAGGGGTCATGCAAAGGCCACTCCTCTAGGCAGCTTTTACTTGGAGAGGGCTGGGTGCCCCTAGCCCCTAGTCCATCTATTGATCCATCCACAAGGCTCCAGAAACCAGAGTTGGGGGTCTTCCTCACTCACGTGCCCTGTGCTAGGCAGGAGGGTTATTTTTACCTCTGTTCACTGTTGGGTTTAGAAGGCAAAGGAGCTCCCTCTCGGATATGCTTAGTCTCTCCTAGTGGCCTTGTCCTCCCTCCTCCCAGACACTCTCCAGCAACATCCACACCTGGAGACAGGCCAGCAGCCCCTTCCCTCAAGGAAGCAACTAGTGGGAGCAGCAGCTCCCCATATCTGTGCCCCTGGAGGTGTCACAGGTGCTGGACTCTTGGGTGCATCACAGAGATCCTCAGCTCATAGAAGCCCTGACACTTTGCTTGTGAACCCCAAGTGTGCACTGATCACACCCACTCACTCCTGAGCCCTGTTGCTCTAGACCTGGTGACTGGGGCTCCGCTGACCTCACTGTCTGAGCTCTTCCTTGCACCGGGCCCCTGCTGAGCTGCTTCCTACCAATTCTTCTGTGCCTGCTGAGCCCTGGGGAGCCCTCCCGCTTCCGCTCCATTCTTGAAGGTGCCCAGTGGTTCCAGCGATGCCAGCAAAGTGGAATGAAGTGGTGGGTGTGTGAACTAGGCCGGCTGGAGACGCTCACACCGCAGGAGGGCCCCAGCCACATGCCCAGCTCCGTAATTTCGTGCACATAAATCCAATTAAGGGCTCGATTAGCTGTGTCCTAAGACTTGCTGGCACATAAATGCCCGACCCCGAAAGCTCGTTTCCTGATCTGTCTCAGATCAATGTGCGTGGCTGGGACCGACTCCTAACTGCATTGGTGAGCTTGTCAGAAGCGAGGCCGGGAATCCATATCCATACGTTAGCTGAGCTTGTTCTTGTCCTCCAGCACACATCTGCACGCTCATCTGGTCTCCTCCTCTCAGAGCCTCCTAATGAGAGAAAAATAGGACAGAAATCCCCAAAGGGCAGAGAAGAAGGCTCCCCACTCCCCCGGCCCTCTACCGGCCCCTCCTGACAGAATCAAAGGACCCAATGAGAGCCTGTGTGTTGGCAGGGTCTTTGGGGTGGGTTGTGCTTAAGCCGCCCCAGAGATGGGAGGGTGTCACTCACAGGCAGCTCTCTGTACATGGTGCTGTAAGAAGGGGCCTTCTCTTAGGATTTCCTACAGGGACCTAAGCTCTGGAGTCCCAGCCCCCTTCAGCCTCAGAGCGTGGCAGTTGACCCTGAGGTTGGCTATGATGTTACTCCTCCATCAAGACACCAACACCACCACTGCCAGCCCCACCTCCTGCCCTACGGCCCACGGGGACACCACCCTGTGGTCCAGGCATGCACACCCTACAGAGACACCACACAGCCCTCTGGCCATGCACACCTGGGAGCTTTGCTACTGGGCAGATACCAGCAGCACTCAGACCTGTGAGTCTTCTTCATTGTTTGTTTTTTTTTTCTTTATTTTGACTTTTGCAGTGACATTTTTCAAAGGTTCAAAATATTAAGAGAATAACACCCCCCAGGCTTCGGTGCCCACCACCAGGTGAGCAGTTACCAACATTCTTAGACCCAATGCCCTGCATTTCAGCAAGACCTCCTCCTAGGCTCTCAGTTCAGGACAAAGGATGACACAGGTCCAGGGGTAGAGAGGGAGGGGTCCAACTCCCCAGCACCTGATAAGCTGAGAATGGTCCTGGACTGAGGACACAGGTAGATAATGTCATGAGTCCTGCTGCCCAGGGGGTGCAGGCTCAGCCTCAGGGATGTGGGCAGAGGACAGCCCAGCACCCCACAGCACCGGACCCCAGCTGACAGTGCTAACAGCACTCCCATGGAGGGCTGCTCCTCCTGGTGGCATGGGCAGGTGGGACAAGTCCACTACATGGGGCAGGACTATGCTTTCTAGCTGTCACCCAGCAGTGCTGGGCCATCTTTGGGTGAGCAGGCAAGGAAGGTCTAGGTGACAGGCACAGCAGATAAAGGGCTAAGAGCAGTGCAGCTCCTCCCCAGCTCCAAAGACAGGCCTATGGGGTAGGTTGTCCTTGTCCTGCTTTTAGTTTTATTGAGGTGTGTTGGCCTATGGTGGTAGGTACAGAGCATTTAGCCAGCTAAGCTTGGAGGCACTCACTGAACGCCAATGCTGTGGCGCCCTCTACCATCAGCACAGGACCTCACGTCCTCGCCCGTCCAGGCCCCCTGAGCTGCCTTGCATGTCCCTGGGGCAGCCACCCCCTGTGGTATGAAGCACCTGGAGGCTCAGTTCATATCTTTTGCTTCTGTTCCATCACCATTCTGACTCCAAGGTTCACCCAGTTATTTGCATCTCTGGAGATTGTTCCATCTGTGTGGAGGACTGTGCCTTGGGGAGATGTGTACATTCTGCTGGTCCATTCACCTGTCCACAGGCATCAGATGGACCTGCTTAAGTAACTTGCTCAAGACCAAGCAGAGAAGCTGGGGTTTGAGGATATAGGAAAGGGGAAGCAAGAGGTTTCCATGCTGGGCATGATTTCCCTGCTGATGGGTGGCAGGTGGGTGCAACAACCCAAATGGCTCCAAAGGACAAAGCCACCGAAGCTGCTAAAGCCACCCACTCCAAAATTTTCAGTACCAATGGATTTAGGTCATTATCTAAGAGAGAGGGACTGTGGATTTTTGTTTGTTTGTTTGTTTTTTTTAAAAAAAAAAAAAGGCTGAGCCACTTCTTAGCCTAAACAGATAAATCAAGATCTTACCACGTTCCTCTTTGGTTAGTGTTTGGTCCCCCTCCTGGCCCTCAGCAGGGAACTATCCATTCTGAGTCCCAGGAGCTCCCCACAGAGGCTGCTGGTAACACTGCTGAAATCCCGCCTTTAAAGGCCTCGCCAGGGCTGACGGGGACCAGGGACTCCACAGTAGACATCTGCCCTGGCTTTTTATTGGCTTTCAATGACATTTTCTGCCAGCTGCAGATTCACCCAGGATACTCCAGAAGCTCCCTGATGGCCCCAGGCCCCAGTGGCTCATTGCACCTGGACAATACGCTCTCGAACTCTGCGCCACTTCAGAGTGCAGCCCCCCGGGATCCCACCCACTCCCTCACCATGTGCTGCTCTCAGCGTGATTCTGCCCAGAGCCTTTGGGAACGTGTGGCTTCCTCTGGAGCAGCGGGGTCTGGGAGCCAGCCTTGACCTCATTTTAGAAAACAAAATCTGCTCAGAGTCATCAGCATCACTTCTGCTTTGCTTGCACTTCCCGACCCACCCGATGCCAAAATTGTCATCGCTGCTTCACTAGGAGCCAAGTCAATGGGAGACTTCAGTCTCCCGGGGCAGAGGAGGACTGCCTCTGGGTTTGGTCAAGAAAGAGAAGACCCCAGGTGGCCAGGAGGACAGCCAGGACAAGAGAGGCACAATAGTGGCCCTCAAGTCCCAGGGTCACTGCAGGAAGGAAGCAGGCTACAGCCCTCAGTGAGCCCAGGCATGGTGGGGTCTGTGGAAGTCGCATTCAGAGAGGGCAGTTAAGTGCCTGATACCACACAGCTGTGGGCAGGGCCAGGTCAGAGCCCAAGACTCTAAAGCTCCGTATGCTCAAGGAACATGTTCCCTGGCCTTTTCTGTAAATTTCTGCAAGGTGGATGCTTCTATGTGGCCTCCCCCATGCAGGATACAGGTCATGGGCAGCTCTCAAAGCCCCCAACTCCTTGGGGCTTCGCACAGCATAGAGATTTTACCCAGGATTAAATTGGCCCTTTTTCTTCCAGACTGGCCTGAGTTTGCCCAGATGGTCATCAAGACTGTCCACACAGTCCCATTCAAATACACACTGAGGAAGAATGGGGCTTCCAACATGGGTCTTCTGCCAGCAGCCAGAGGGTCATCCTTGTGATAGGCATGTCCACTGTCCTGTGCAATGTTGTGGTCTTCATTCCAGGATGGGTGGTCATGTCACCTCCTGCATGGTGACCCACATCCTCCTGAATCAACCTCCATCCCTCAGACAGGCCCATCCTGGACCTTGCACATGCAGGCCAGGACTTTCTGGGTTCATGAGGAGGGCTGTGTGCTCCCGGTCAGGACCAGGCCCTGGGAGCCCATGTCCACTGCACACTATTGGAGGGGCCCTAGTCTTCCCCTAGCTCTCTGTCTACTAGAGCTACTAAGTGAAAATTATGCCCACTTACCCCTCAACATGGGGCAGTCCTCTCTGCTGCATGGTCACCTTCTCTGGACTTCACATAGCTGCCTTATATGATCTTTCTCCCAGGCTGTGGGCACAGCTCGACCCTCACACGCAGGTGAAGAGCTGAGCAGAGATGTGTGCTGCTTCACCCAGGTCATGCAACTGGAAGGAACCCTGACTTTCAGAGCCCAACCCCACCCTAGATGCCCTTTAGAGCTGGTGAGGAGGGATCCTTGCCCTCTTAAGGTGATACTGTCTAGAACTGGCTTAGGAGGACGTAGCTGTCCGCATGGTCAACTTTCATGGCACCCCGAAAATGGATTGACTTGTGTCAGCAGCCAGAGCTGTGCAGCTAGCTGATCCCCCACGATGGACCTGTGGTAATTATCCAACTTTGTGCTGTGGTGGAGGCCAGGAAGGGGAGAGGCAGGGGGCAGCTCATGGGGAGACCAGCAGCTGGGACATCCTGTGTTCCTAGGGCTGCAGCTGTGCCAGCACCCTCCCCTCTCTCCATCCGCTCCCCTCTGACCCTCACTGGCCACTCTCCTGACCCTATGAGTGGGAAGGAACAGGGAGCAAGGCAGGGCCCCTCCTGCTCCACCAGAGGCTTCCTCCCTGTCTCCACAACCTGATGCCTTTGCAGGTTTCTCCACCAAACAAGTCAGAGCATGAAAACACAGATTCACCCAGTAAACAAATACAAGCATAGAGTAGACCATCCATAGGCTATGATCAGCATGCGGCCATCCCAGTGCTCCCAGTAGGAATACCACAAACCACGACAGCAAAGAGCTTGAAGTTTTTAAACTTTTAATTGAGGTATAATTCACATGCCATAAAACTCACCATTTCGAGGTGCATGATTCAGTGGTTTTAGTACATTCACTATATTGTGCAAATCCAGAATTTTTTCCCCCACCCTAGAAAGACCCCAGAGCCTGCCCCAGCACTTGAGATGCCCCTGAGCCCATGCGTGTGGCCTCCCCTGCCTGGCTTCTCTCACTGGGCAAGATGTTGTCGTGGCTCGTCTGCAGTGCAGGCTCTCAGCACTCTGTTCCCTTCCAAGGATGGATGATACTTGGTTGTGTGAAAATCCTATGTCTTGTTTAGCCGTTGGTCAGCTGGTGGCTTTGGGGCTGGGTTCCTGCTGTGAGCAGCGCTGCTGTGAGCACATTCAAGCAAAGGGTGGGAATATATTTAATCTTTCTTAGGTAGATGCCTGCAGGTGGGGCCGCTGGGTCACATGCTAGCTCCTGTTTAACAAGCACCTGTGCACATCACTGCCCCCAGCAGGGCCCTGTGGTTCCAGTGTTCCACATCCTCGCCAACCCTTGCAATGATCAAGACCATTCTCATTGGTGTGAGGTGCTTTCTCCTTGTGGATTGGATTTGCGTTTCTCTGATGACCACTGAGGAGCATCTTTTCATGAGCTCATTGGCCACTTGTATATCATCTGTGGAAAAAGATCCATTCAAGTTCTTTGCCCATGTATTAATTGGATTTTTTTAATTATTGAATCATACAAGTCCTTGACATACGCTAAGCACTACATCCCCATGAGCTTTGTGATTTGCAAAGATTCTCCCATTTTTGTGGGTTCTCTCTTTCTTCATGGTACAAATCATTCTGGGGACTACTGAACAGAGACTCTGGAGTTTCCATGGACTGCAGCCCCTGGATTCTGGGGCGAGGAGAAGCCAGACTCCAGGGCTGCGGGGCCTAGGAGCCCACTGCAGGGTTGACTCATGGCCTGGGGCTGGAGGTGATCACTGAGGCCAAGTGAGCTTGGGGGTGAGTCCTGTCCTTAAGAGCTCCAGGCAGAGCCCTGAAAGGCCAGGGGTGGCATGTGGGGACAGCTGTAGGTGATGGGGTCTGTCTCTCCCACCAGCCAACAACATCTGCTTCTACGGGGAGTGCTCCTACTACTGCTCCACAGAGCACGCACTGTGTGGGAGGCCAGACCAGATAGAGGGCTCCCTGGCAGCCTTCCTGCCCGACCTGTCCCTGGCCAAGAGGAAGACCTGGCGCAACCCCTGGCGACGCTCCTACCACAAGCGCAAGAAAGCAGAGTGAGTGCGGGGCTGGGCCCCGGGGACCTGGGATGACTTTGTCCACTCTGCAACTAGGACACCAGGCCTGGGAGGGCTTGGGGTTCTCATGACCATGGGACAGGAGGGGGGACAGGGCCAGCCATGAATCCAACCCTGAGTAGCATGTATGATGCACAGTGGGCTAGGTGATTAGGAAGGGCCCTGACCTGAGATTTAGAAGCCCCCAAGGCACTGGCCTTACCGCTGGGTCCTTCAAAACATGACTTAGTATTTTTGCTTGGCCCTTGCTTCCAATTCCTCTTGTTCCTTGTGCAGAAGAAACATGTCCTACTCTCTCAGCCAAGGTATCCTGATAAGTGCAATGTCCAGGCACTGTTTCTGAAACAGTGAATCTCCAAAACTATGGTACCCAGAGTTTGATAGTAGCTTCAAGCCTGGCAGGGGCCTCTACCTGGAGCATGATCCCCTCCCAGCCCCATAATCCTATTAATGCAACCTCATAGCCCACAGCCAAGGCATGGTCTCTCTGTAAACACTTGGCCCACATCCTAGGCCCTCTTTGTCCAGAGTGGCCCCACTGGCTTGTGCTGTTCTGAGCCCTGCAGCCCCCAGAATTTTCCCTCGGCCTCCCTATCCATGAAGGACTTCCCCTCACACTGGCTCTCCTGCAGGTGGGAAGTTGACCCCGACTACTGTGAGGAGGTGAAACAGACTCCGCCCTACGACAGCGGCCACCGCATCCTGGACATCATGGATATGACCATCTTTGATTTCCTCATGGGTATGTCCCGTGGGTTGTGCTGTCCACTGGGGATGTGGGGCCCAGGTCCACCTGTGCCAACCCAGAGCTCCCAGTGGACCGGCCTGGCACCATACTAGTTACGGTTCTGCGGGGTTGTGGCCCTGGAGGCCGTACTTGGGGTGGACAGGAGGTGCCTCTCTCAGCAGGCTGGAGGCCTCTGAGCACCTGTGCTTATCCCTGCAGGGAATATGGACCGCCACCACTACGAGACTTTCGAGAAGTTCGGAAATGAGACATTCATCATCCACCTGGACAACGGAAGAGGGTGGGTCCCCTCATGTCTAAGAGCCCAACAGGCTGGCCACCTCTGCCCTGTGGGTGGCGTAGCCCAGAGCAGGAAGAAGCAGGCCTTGGTGAACAGGGGTGTCCCAAGACCCATCCCTGTGTGAAATACAGGCCTCCATTCCGAGGCAACAGGGTCCCCGTCACAGGGAGGGATGGCAGTTGGCCTTGACAGGTGCTGGGTTTATGACAGTAACCCTGGGAGGTGTGTCCCATTGTCCCCTTCTGTTGCCCCAGGAATATAGGCCCAGACAGGCTCTATCTGGGAGAGAGTGGCCCCCAGTTAGCAAGGCAGGAGGATATCCATTCCAAAAAGGCTGTGCAACCCACTAAGGACCTGATGGTTGTGCTTTCTCATGGCAGGTTTGGGAAATACGCGCACGACGAGCTTTCCATCCTGGTACCTCTACAGCAGTGCTGCAGGTAGGTCCCAGGCCGCCCCTGGAGGCGCAGGCCCAGATCTCCCCACTTCCCTGCATGACACAGGAGACAGGCGTCCATACCTGGTGGCAGCCCATAGCCATACCATGGCCATCAGCTCTCTGCCTACCCATCCACAACCCCAAGCTCCAGGGACCCCCACAAGGACCTATGCTGGCTCTTGTCACCCCAGCCCTGTGAAGCTGCCAAGCCCCAGAGCAGACACTAGCTTAGAACCAAGGACCCTGCACCCCAGCAGCAGCTACCAGACCGTCCCCCTGCCCCTCCCACAGTTGGAGACACGGGCTTACGGGGCAAAGTGGTTTGTGCTTCTCTCAGAAGACATCTCAGGATCCACCCACCCAGGTCCAGGCCAGTTGGGTGAGCTTGCCTGTGTCTGCCCTAGGGCCCAGGGTGCCCGCCCACATCCCTGCAAGGTGGGGCCCCGTCCACATGCAGGTGAGAGGCAGGGCCAGTGAGGTACCCATCTCGGATCTGTCTGTCTCTCCCTCTGCCTCTCTCTGCCTCTCTCCATCTCTCTCTCTGCCTTTGTCTCTCTCGGTCTCCATCTCTCACACTCTCTCAGCTTTCATCTCTCCCTCCAGGTCTCTTTCAGCCTCTCTTCCCCCGACCCCTCCCCTGGGGCCACCTGCCCCACCCCCAGCCCATGCTCACAGCCCCCTCTCCACAGGATCAGGAAGTCCACCTACCTGCGCCTGCAGCTGCTGGCTAAGGACGAGTACAAGCTGAGCCTGTTGATGGCTGAGTCTCTGCAGAGGGACAGGGTGGCACCCGTCCTGTTCCGGCTACACCTGGAGGCTCTGGACCGGCGGCTGCGCATCGTGCTGCAGGCCGTGCGTGATTGTGTGGAGAGAGACGGGCTACGCGGCGTGGTGGAGGACGACCTGGACCCTGGGCACAGAACCTCCACTGAGAGGTAGTGACCTGCACTACCCGCACTGCCCACCCAGGAGCATGGCTGCACACGCCACATCATGATTCCGTGAAGTCGTGGACAGGACAGGGTTGTCCCTGCAGTGACCTGCCGCCCAGTGGCACAGCCTCCTGAGGGGCTCCGACAGGACACTTCCATGCTTCTCCAAGACCCAGGACAGGCAGGATGTGCTGCCTGTGGCTGCAGTAGAGGCCTCCGGTCCTTTTTGTGGGAGAGGAAGCCTATTTCACTGTTTTATATTTACATAAGGTGCAATGTACCATGGGAGGGACGTCCACACAGGCCATGGTCACCTCCAGCCCTGCCCGAGGGCTCTCTCCTGGTCCTGTGTGGCGCCTGCACTCTGCACCTTCTCTTTCTGCTCTTGCCTCTCACGCCTCCGCATTTGGAGGCTGGAGAGACCCTTTGGGGATGAAGGGGGTTCCCGGTGGATGTCAGGGCCTGCGTGTGGACAGATGGACACCCGAGTGTGAATGACCAGTTATTCCAGTATCCAGCAGTGGCCCTGCCCCTCCCCGTTGCAGCAGGCACCACGGCTTTGCTCTGGACAGTTGGTATGAACGTCACACGGGTCCTCAGGGGCCACAGCAGCAGGCCGACCTCCCCGGCATCTTTGTGGAGTAGTTTGCGATGTGGTAAAAGTGCAATAAAGATACGGCAAGCGTGTGTTTTCGGCCTCACTGGGGCCAGGCCCTCACACCCTGGTGCTCAGCTGCCCGCCCGTCAGTCCTCCCAGAAAGTAAGGCCTGGAGCCAGACATGACCAAGGCCCAGCGTACCCGATGCCCATGTGGCCCAAAGCCCACAGCCTGCTGCCGGGGAGCCGCCTGCCAAGCCCCGGGATAAACAGGCCGGGCGAGGCCTGCACTCCCGAAAGCAGGGGTGGGCACGAGGAGAGGGCAGGGCAGCTGCAGAGCCCTCTGAGGACTGGGTGGACACCACTGAGGCCACAAGAGGCCCAGAGGGCCACACCCTGTCAGGCAGACACAACGTGTGTCCAGCAGGAACCACTCCAAAACAGGGGCAGCTGAGAGATGCCAGCCTCTTCCTACCACTGGCCCCAGAACCTGAGACCCACCAGGCCCAGCCTGCAGGGAAGGCCTAGCAAGTGGTGCCACCCCAGGGAGCAGGCCGACAAGCAGATGTGACCGAGACTCATCACAGACCCCCACACTTCCAGGTCATGAAAATCCAGAGGTCCTCCTCCTGCCAGGTGCTTCCTTGCCTGTCACCCTGCCGGCTACTCGCCTCCCTGCCCAGGGCAGTCTGTGCTGAGGGAGGCTCCCTGGGCCCTGGGCCCCGGGAGGCAGACTACCAGGTTGCTGCTTCTCCAAAGCCACATTGCACTGGTTTGAATCTTGTCATTTCTTTTCTTTTTTTTTTTGAAAGAGAGAGAGAGAATTTTAATATTTATTTTTTAGTTCTCGGCAGACACAACATCTTTGTTTGTATGTGGTGCTGAGGATCGAACCCGGGCCGCATGCATGCCAGGCGAGCGCGCTACCGCTTGAGCCACATCCCCAGCCCCTGAATCTTGTCATTTCACAGGTGGGAAAGAGGCCCAGAGAGGGGAAGACAAGCAGTAAGGCTCCCAACACGGCAGAGCCAGAGCCAGAACCAGAAATCCCAAAAGCCCAGGAGGGGCACGAGGCCCCTGGACCCTGAGCGAGGCTGGGCTCAGATGTGGGCTTCACACAGCCAACCAGTAAATGGCCTCAGACTGACAGATCTTTAAAGGAAATAGCAGGATGATAAAGGGGCCACAAAGCCTGCCTCCCATCCTGTCAGCACCAGGTCCAGTGTCCCCACAGCGTGGGCAGCTCCACCCCGCTAGCTTCCTCTCGGCCAGCCCACTTCTGGCCAGAACAACCAGTTCAGCCAAAGACGCATTCAAGTCCCCACCTCAGGCTACTGGGGACTGGGATACAGGCGTCAGCCACGAGCTGGAAGCCAGGCTGTCACCTGTCCTGGGTCACACACCCAGGAGTCACGGAACATCAGATTGGGAGAGGCTGTCACTAGGGCCCCCTCCCAAGTCCTCTATAGGTCCACAGGACAGTTGAGCTGTGATGCGAGAGGTCACAGGACAGCAGAGCAGCCAGAGGCACATGCGCTCAAGACCAAATGAGGCCAGTTGGTGGCCACACCAGGTCAGCCCAGCACAGAGCCTACAAGGCCTCAGGAAGTTAAGATGCTAGCGTTCTTGAGACAACAATGATATAACTGAATTAGCATTTCAAAAGATCTCAAGGGGCCAGGTGCAGTGGCACATGCCTGTAATCCCAGCAGCAGGAGGATCACGAGTTCAAAGCCAGCCTCAGCAATAGCAAGGGGTCAAGCAACTCAGGGAGACCCTGTCGCTAAATAAAATACAAAATAGGACTGGGGATGTGGCTCAGTGGTTGAGTGCCCCTGAGTTCAATCCCCAACACAGAAAAAAAAAAAAGATCTCAAGGGGTTAGGCTGATGGAGGTTGATCTCAGGGGCTTGAACCACTGTAGCCTTCCGTATGCTCGGTCTGCCCTGCCCACTGCAGGATGGCTCTGGGATGTCTGGGCTGGTCATTAAAAAAAAAAATTATCATGAGGCACACCCTGGCCATCCTTGGCTGGGGCAAGGGGACAGCCTGAGAGTAGGGGAGAATAGCCAGGGAGGACAGTGTACAGAAGGAGCCCTGCCCAGCAGAACAAGCCAGTGTCCAGCAGGCAGGTTCCTTGCTGCTGACTGTGAGCCAACAGCAGGAATCCCCAGCCACCTCAGAGTCCTTCTGGAGAGCACAGAACAGAATGGACAGTTCAGTGACACCCAGAGACATGCACAAGACAGGGAAGAGTTTGGGTGCCAGAGAACGGGAAGGGCTCTTGGAGTATTATGATAGGGAGAGACCAAACAGGAAGAAGAAACTGGAAGGCACAGGAGACAAAATCGCGGAAGTCCCCAGACAAAGAAGGGGGCCAGAGGTAGAAGCAGAAGGGTGAGCAATGTCACCAGAGGATGCCTAGGAGTTGCCTGCACGTGGCCTTCTCCAGGGCCATTCCAGGTCTGCTGGGTGATGGAATGATTCCTTCCAAGTGCCACCAGACAGCCTCATCCCCAGCACATCAGAGTGGCCATGAGGGTGGACAGACATGCTCAGCGAACATTTTGAGCACAGTACAAAGGCTGGCACCAGAGGACGGGTCCTCCAAAAGCAGGACCTGATTCAGGAATGCAAAGAGGCAAAGGGTCAGAGTGACAATGATGGGGTCCCAGGAGACCCTGCTATCTTGGTGCCGTGGACAAATGGGACACCAGGGGCATGATGAACAGAAGGAAACACAACTCTGCTGGAGAGACACAGGAGCCCTCGGCAAGGTCAGCCAGGAAAGAGCACCTCCCACGCCCCAGGAAGCAGAGGCCACCCAAGAAAAGACCAGCAAGTCAGGCCACTCGCCACCCGCTGGGGGGATCTGCACAAGACCTTTCCAGCATGGAAAGTCAACAGACGTGGGGTGAAGCTGAGACAGTGCAGCCGAGGCCTGTCGTTTAGACACAGGAAGGCAAATCTCCAAACAGCAAAACACCCGGGAAACTTGCAGAAATGGATGTTCTCTGGGCTTGGCTGGGGGAGGGGACTGTCTTCGTGACTTCATCTAGGGTGTCATTAAAGACTTTGAACACTATGATCTATTGCTTTGGTACAAATTCAAACGAAACTCTGACTACACTGGGCAGAGGTAGAAAGGGTCAGCCCCGGCCCTGGTGCTGGTTGCCAAGTGTCCCCAGCAGCCCCCATCTCCTGTTCTCTCTGCTCCTCGCTGTTGCTCTCCCAGAAGAATCACTGTCCTGTTGAGCCATTTCACAGTTTTGCAAACTGAGGCACCAATAGGTAAAGTGGTTCCCTGGGTTCAGCACACAGTGAAAAACCCTACCTGCCCACCACCCAGAACCCTGTGCTCTCTCCAGTCCTCAAAATCAAGCCCCCAGGCCTCCAGGATGGCACAAACCTGCAATGCCAGGCAGCAGAGTGAGCGTTGCTGAGGCAGCAAGACCTGACTGGAGCCCAGGCCAAGAGAGGAGCAGCTTCAACAACCCCCCCCCCCCCGGGGCAGGCCCGAGGTGCTTCCATAGATGGCCTTCCACCAGAGCCGCCTGAGAACAGAATGTGATAGAATTCAAGCAAGACTTTTAGAAAATGGGAGGGGACCTCCTCAGTAGATCTGGGCTTTATTTTGCAGTGTCTGGGAGTGAGCAGGGGGAGGCAGTGGCACAGAGGGCTCCTGCCCAGGGCTGGCCTCCCACCTCCTGGCAGAAGTCACAGGGCAGCTAGAGCAGTGGCTCCTTCTCCCCGAATTAAAATAAATAAATGCACAAACAAATACATACCTGAGGCTCGCTATGACCCCTGCCCTATGGCCAGAATGGGCCATCAGACTGCTGGTCTACCAGCTCCCACCCCAGAAGTCTGGGGTGGGCACAAAACAAAGTACCAACTGCCCTTCAGGTGAGAGCAGAGGCTTCTGGGCCTCTGATAGGCAGAAGGGCTGCAGCCCTGGGTCCCTGCACCCATGTGCCTGCACTCCAGTCACCTCGAGGGCTAAAGAGCCCAGATCTCAGCATCCCCTACTCCCCATGCAATCCTTCACTGCTCCTGGGTCCCTCGCCGAGGCTCCTGGGCTCCCCTCAGGGTCTCATTTCCCCAGACAGCTGGAGCCTCACTTCCACCCACCTTGAACAGACGCACCCTCCATACCTTGCCCATGCCCACCCAGTTCCTACGGAACCTCTCCCAAATGCTGCCTTCAGGAGATTCCCAGGGAGATGAAAAGAGGAGGTAGGGGACACTTTGCTGTCCAGGTGGAGAGAGGGGAAATGGGGAGACTGATCCAGGCTGGACCACAGCAGAGCAGAACTCCAAGGCCTCCATTTCAGAAAAGCCTCATCCTGGTATGTGAGACCCGGCCTCCAAAGAAGGAAGGTGCCTGAGGCCACAGAGCAGGCAGACAGACCCCAGCTGTACAAAAGCATCTTTTACTGGGACTTAGGGACAGAGGTATGGCCTGGCTCCCAAGCCAGGAGGACAGGTTTCTATACCCAGCCAGATAAAGCTGGATAAGGCCAACAGGAAGGTGGTGGCTTCTATCTAAATCTGTCCACCTGTCCAACCCAGGTGTCAGTGACAGTACACCACCCAGCTGACAGTATACCACCCAGCTGACCAGCTGATGGTGGTTTTTGTTGGTGCCGGGGATTGAACCCAGGGCCCTGTGCATGCAAGGCAAGCACTCTACCAACTGAGCTATATCCCCAGCCCACAGCTGACAGTGTTGAGACAGCACTCGGGGTCTCTGGTGGGCAGAATGTCTCCAGTCCTGGGTCCCTGCACCCATGTGGGGATCCCTGTGGGACAAGAGCCACTTCCTGCAAGGTGCCCCCTCTAAGAGGCAGCTGTTCCTGCCCTGAAGCTAGCTGGGAAATGAGAATGGAGCCCTGGAGAGGCCTGGAAAGGTGTAGGGTAGGTTATGTAGGAGATGGGACCAGGGGGGACTGTCCCCAGGCTTGGCCAGGTCAGGGCAACCCCGAGAGGTTATCAAGGGGCTGGGGGTCAGCCAGCCTCCTCAAAAAACATCCATTACACCCTGCCTGCCCAGGGTCCCAGGACCTTCCTTACATGCCCACAACCACCAG